CGAGGACAGTTTTCTGAAGAGAACGTAAGAAATTTCGAGAAAAGTGGTAGGGAGTTGGGGAAAACCTCGGGGAGATAGTAGAGAAAGGAGTCGTACCAGATGAGAAAATTGAGGGTTAGGGTGTACTAAACACACATTACGATGCTGCACCCTGTATTAAATATATTATCGGTAATCCTGTAGTGTTTGCTATCTACAACAGAACGCCGTTGTGGTACTGAATTGTTTGTTTGTTGTTTTTTCAGCCTTTTTTTCTTTTGGAATCGATTTTGTTCTTTTTTTACCTCAAAATTCAGGGTAAGTCAGTTTAGAGGGTATTCTCTGCACTCTTCGCTGTTTTAGGCTCAACGTCTCGGTGACGGAACGGTATGTGCAGTATGGAATGACATCGGTAAAGTGCAACTTCTGGAATTTAACGAATGCCGTAAACGAATGCAGCAAGATGTCAACCAAAGGCAAAGAAGAAAAGCAAATCCAAGTAAGCTTAGTTTCTTCTGACAGTAGAAAAAATATTTGCCGTGATCGTTGCGTTAGCGGAAGTTCCTCTTTCGCTACCCGTAAGGCAATTTCAATAATAGTGCTGAATCAGGCACCATAATAAGTTTTGACCTCACAATCACAGTGACTGAAGGTTCCGAAATATTCCTGTTTAAGGAGAAACCATGTTCTCTTATATCACAAAGAAGGAAGGATTCGCGCTTGGATGGTCGGTACTCAAGCAGGTATAGTGCGAGTACTTGTTTACCAAGATCTAAATTACTTGTTTGCTACTTATATAATTAAGGGTGATTTTGCCTCTGGAGATCAATCCCGGAATATCCACATATACAGAATGCATGAAGGTGGAACTTGGGTCGTCGATCAACGTGCTCTCAACGCTCATTCAGGTAATTTGTAAATACTGTAGCTGTGATCTCCAAGTTGTCCCTTCTTGTAACCTCGGCATAAATAAGGACGAATCGTCCTTACTTACTACTGACACATAGCGTGAGCTAGGCTCCGCACGGTGGAACCTCGGCCTCTGAAGAAGACGAGAAGGTCGAAACGTCGGGCCAATAAAAAGGTTCTCATCTAACAACCTCGTTTGGCAGAAATAATTAAACATTCGACTGTAGCTGTGTTCAAACAATCGAATTTGCCAGAATGTTTGGTCAGTGGCGTGCTCAAAGATCCAGCTTCTTTATTTACTTTTTGGTTTCTTTATTGCGACTCTCGGCCTGTTTAACGTTTTCTGCCTCAGTTTGAAGTGGCGGTCAGAACTCGATTTGTCTGGGAATCGGCCCCTAAGGTATATTAACCCGCTAAACACCATATCGCTGTCACTTGGTCAAGAAAACCGCCTGGCACCTTGCTGAAAACTTGTGCCCAGGGGTGTTTCTGTTTGTGAACTTCAATGTCACATCTGGGGCACCAAGAGCGTTAAGAACGGGTGGAGGGGGAACAGATTGCAGCAGCCTGCTTGTGCTTGTCTGCACTATTATCCCGAGGTAGCGAATCCTTTCTCTAGAGGGGAGGCACTGCTCGCTACGCATTCTTTCAAGTTTTGTCGCCCCTTCAGTGCTTGCGTTGTTATGTAGGTCTGTTACTAGAGTCTTAAGAAAAAGGTACCGCTAATGTGACTCGAGACCTGAGCTGAAAGAAACTGAAGTTTCAAGCGACCCCAGTTTGAACAGTTGTAAAACGACTTTAACGATTAGAGAAAGCTTCCCCGCTTGCTGTGCCCCAAAAGGGTTCAAAAATCACTGCTTAGATTCTACCAACAGGACAGGAGATAGTTTATTCAGAATGGCTGAAACGTTACCGTTGTTTGTTATCAAGAATGATTTGTAGGATCCGTAGAAGATGTGCATTGGTCTCCTACGGAAGAAGGTTTGCTCGCGTCGTGCTCTTGTGATGGAACTATCAGGTTATGGGATACACGGTCCAGCCCAGCTGATGCATGTGTATGCACAGTAGAAAAGGTACTCAAGCAATGATCTTATGCCAATTTCCCGTTTGAGAAGAGCTGTTTTTTTACTCACTGTTTTACTGAAGTGGGCATTCAAAGCAAGCGGGCGACTTGAGTAATTTATCTATGCATGATCTATATTTGCAGGCTCATACGTCCGATGTGAATGTCCTGTCCTGGAACACGCATGAACCACTGTTGGTAACAGGAGGTGATGATGCCGAGCTGAAGATTTGGTCCTTAAAAACAATTCAGAGATCATTTTTGTTCTTATCTGTGGTTCATGGCGTAGTGCCTCTTCAATTCCACCCTTTTGCTGCTTGGAATGTCACATGAGAAAGGTTATACCTGATGTCCTTATCACCAGTACGCTCCGGGCCTACTGTGTGTTGGGCGATCATATTCTAACGATTTGTACGCTGAAGTATGTGGTTGGACTGGAGTGTCGACAAAAATGAGTTTTCACGGAAACCTTTTACTTCCCCACAATTTAAGAGCTAAAGTCGTAAAGCTCAAAGATGCATTCAGCTAAGAAGGAATGCTTCTGAGAGGCTCAGTGTTGGTGTGAACGATTTAAAGAGTAGCAGTATTTTTTATACTGCCGAACTCAGGGTTTCTGGGAGTGGAATCATAGGACTCATCACTTAATCCATTGAACATCCAGAGGGGAAGGCAATCGAACTTATTTCAGGGCACAAAAATGACGTACCTATAAATCGCCTCCTCCCCCCCCCCCCATTTTGGCTTCCATAGACGCTACTATCCAAGAAAAAACTGATTTAGGAAACGTGACTGGTAGATCTCGCAGAAGTTCTACCTTTACAACTTTACCCACTCGGTGGTCCACTGCCTGTTCACGGTTCATTGCGCAAACTTCGATAGTTTAACTTATTAAATTAGCCGTCATGGGGCTGATTTTCTTTGTCACGGCTATTATTAGTTCTTCTTCTCTGAAAAGCTATGTGAGTTTTGCCTTTTGCTCCGCCTACATCAGCAGATGCTGCGCCTGCTACGGGTGTCACTCAGAGCTTAGCTTCAATTGGGGCCAACGCTGCACTAACGTTAATTCTTTCTTTCTTGGGCCACTCTGAAATCGAGTTTCAGTTTTTTTCACCTAAACTAGCTCCTGAGACAGTTCCAGTTTTCAAACTGTCTCCGGACCGAATTTATGAATTTTAGCAAGCACCGCCCCTCCCCTTACTGGCCTTTGTCTACTTCTTCACAATCTCCGGGCTCTCCTACAACCGTATAATGAATTTTTGTCCATTGGCAGCCACTCAGAAGCCGATGCAGGCAGTCCACGCCCAGCTGAACGGGGCATAGCTTGATTAATGTGCGCTCTGTAGGACTTGCCCCATGCCCTAACCGTTCAACCCTAAGTTGACATCTCCGAGTGGGTACCTCTTCTGGTAAAAACGAATTACCGGACAGACAATCATGCAGACGAGCAGAAGTACCAAATGTACATAGAAAAGATTCATGATATTCAGTTATGATAAAACCAATGAATGCGTTGAAGATTTGTTATCCATACTTTTTTTAGTTTGGTCAGCCTGTCGCACGGTTTAAATACCACTCAGGACCCATTACTTCAGTGGAGTGGATGCCACAGGTATCTGTATTTGTTCGCTTCACTTAAAGCTCCACCTTCTAACATGATGCACGGCTGTTCACGAGCTGCCACTGCTTAGGAATCAACTTGCTTCATGGCCTCTGGAGAGGATGATCAGGTCACCATATGGGACATTGCCGTTGAGGCCGACTCCCAAGAATCTGTCGAAGGCGTTCCTCCACAGCTAATGTTTTTGCACCTTGGGCAAAAGGAGGTACGTTGTCGCGATCCGCTTTTCTCAATGGGTCAGCCTTTCAGGAGTGTTCCTCGCCCAGCCTCGTTAATGGCAAATAAGGGAGGCGCTGCTGAGCACACATTTCAGGTGAAAGAGGTTCATTGGCATCCACAAATCAATGGATTTGCTGTAACAACGTCTCTTGATGGATTCAACGTGTTTAGAACTGGCAAATGGCGTGAATTCCCTTGCCTACTGGGATATAATTTGATACCTTCTTGTTTTTTGCTACTTTTTACTGGTTACTGCTTAGTTCTGTTTTGTCTGTTTTGTTTTTGAAGAACTTTCATCTTTGTTTCACATTGAATACTTCTATGCTTGTTTACCTTGTTATTGTTGACAAAATGTTATAAAAACCAAACGAGTAAATAGGATACGTGAGAAAGAACTTCAACAGTACTGGAACATAAGGCTTACCCGCGGTTAAGGCCCTCTTACAACTCCTTTCGCGCACTCTCCTCAATTCGACCTTTGGTAAAAAAAGCATCTGAAATTCTTTTTAGTTTCAGAGGAAGTCCACAACAGTAATCCCATGGGGTAGACGGGAAGGAGTAGTTAGTTGCCCCTGCTAAAATAAATCATGTCTCCTACGCACCAGGGACTCTGCAAAAGGGAAGCTCTTGTAACTTATCGTTCTGGAAAACTGAAAACTTCTTGCAAAGTAATTCTCACAATATAACTGATTCAGCGCTACCCAGTTGAAGTATCGGGAAGTATGTGGTTCGGGACGAAGGCACGGCATAGTGCATGAATTATCCATCGCCTCAAGCTACCTTCGGCATGGACTCGGCATCGCCTGCCCCCACCTTTCCTCTCGTAGAATGACTTTGTACATCCACTTTTAGTGCTTCACACACACATAGAATGAAAGCTTGATCACCCTTCGAACTTAAACAACTATGGACAAGTTGCTTCCTTGAGAGCTAATCACTTAAAAGTGTTGGTTGCAGAAAGCCATTCATTCAGTCAGTGATTCTAAAGAGTGAAAATAGAATAGTTAATTTATCATTGTCGAATAAGGCCATTAAAAGAACGATGGACAAGGTTCCCATTACGGAAATGATTCGAAGCGAAAGTGCCTTGCCGACTCAAACAACTGGGAGGCCTCCTTCGATGTCGCGAAGTACAGCCGGACAAGGATGTATCACTTGTGCTCTCGTTGATCCTCGTGTTGCTCGAGCAAGCACCAATAACATCTCCACTCGTCCTGCAACGTGGCCATCCTTCACATCTGGCCACCACATGTGTGGTCAGGCATGGTCGCGGAGAAGTGCGCGACCCTCCCCACGCCAGCAAACAATTACAAGACAACACGAATTCGAGTTCAAGTTCACAATTAGTTATACGAACATGGTGAGTAGCATATACAAAAGAGTACCATAAGAATGTGAATACTATGGTGTCTTTTTATGGATTTTATCACTCTGATCGTGTTGGTTGATGACGGTGTACGTGGGCGATGGTTGACGTGAGGAGCGGAGTGTAGATTGGCAGTTGTTGGTGGCGTCGGAGATTGGAGTCGAACGTGATGGCTGTAGAGTAGTTGTAGTGGGTGTGGCGGAGTAAGGAGTAGAGTTGATGTATTGCTTGTTCGCTACACCAGTGAGCTCAGTGTTTCCTTTTCTTTAGGAATGGGCCGGCTTTGACAGGGTCCAGGAAGGCGTTGTGGGGCTCTGCGGGCAGTGCTTAAAACCAGCACACGAGTCGAAGTGCGAGGTCATGTGCGTATGCCGCCAGTCCCGAGGCCCAATAGGAAAAATCAAATTCCTGGGAGTTCCTTCCAACACGCAATCCGATGAATTCTCCGTGGATATACGAATATGCATGAAGGAAAATTGACAAAACATGACATAGTCAGTCAACTAAATTCTATTTATGATCCAATAGGCTTGTCGTGCGGACAGTTGTAGTTGTTTTTAAATCACCTCCGCTTTCCCGCCCACAATGAACCGTTACGGCCAGCCAGCATTTGCCGAATTCCTCTCTACCATGGGTAGAGATCCGGTTCTTTAGTTGCACTCTATTTCTTTTCTGACGCTATGGCAGACTACTCCAGGGATCTGCTTTTAGGACCAACGTCCTTTCTCGTGGTTTACAATGCCACGTTGTTAGGATATCGGATTCCCATACTACCTATTGGCCAGGTGGCATTTCACCAACCTGTTGGTTCCTAAGGCTGCGCTTCTTGCCAATTTCTCCAGAATGAAATCAGTCTTGTCGCGCAACCCAAGGCTTTGGACATGTCGTCTTAGGGCTGGAGTGCATTCACCGCATGTGCCAAGCAGTCCACCCTACTGTGTCTATCCTTTTGAAGGACTGATTTGAGGTTTGGCCCTGGTCTGAAGTCCTCCAGGGCCGTATCTTCAGGCATGGTGCTGTTAACACCATACTTGAAGATTTT